ATTGCTTTTTGTGAGATATTTGACGGGTACAATCAAGCGCAGTTGCTCAGACGGACTGTAGCGAGCATAACAAATATGTTATCTTGCCCACATCAGCAAAACCACACCCTGGTGCATGCATTGTTTCACGCAGGCTATTAGTCTTTTAAGTCGGCAGATGACACAAACCCGTGGAGGACAACGTTAGTGCGAGTGTTGGGATGCAGTTACTATGATCGTATCTTTTGTGGGTTGGACTGTAAGTGGTGAGGTGTATTACCTTTTACCTGAGCGGGTGCCCATGTGAGTCTATATGTCACCCATACTGCACTGATTGTTAGAGTTTCACATGGAAGTGAGTTCTGCATATCTGGGATGTCAATATTTTACATTTTGTCGAGTGCCTGGACGGGGTGACATAAGGAGTGTACATGCATCGTAATTGCCACAAGTAAGCGGCACACCGACACTCACACACATACGTATATTTGTACAAAATGAATGATTCAATTTTCCTTATATATATATTACTATATATAAATATCTTCAGACAAGCTCACATGACTCATTTCACACAAACAGATGGACCTTACCTCCCGCGTAGTGTGTTCAACCACTCACCATTACCGGAAAGTAATCATTCCACCGCCGCCACACACTCCCAATCGCTGCAGGGTATGCTCACCATCGTATTGCATTCTTGTAAACATGTGATGTCACTTATATATATTTTATATATATATATATATATTTATATATATATATATATGAGAAACATTCTAGCATATACACACGCACACATACGTCCATTCGCTTTATCAGGCAAGTACCAACCGGCAGGAGGGGAATCATACTTTCTGTTTCGATCATCTAACGGCCGTCTGATCTCTTGCTCACTCACATAACAAAGTACATACATAATTTAAGGCATGTGCTTGCACGCACACATACATTCACCCCGAATAAACTATAACCATACCCCAATTCAGACCACGAAACCGGCGCAACAAGCTCTGGAAACACATACAATGCAACTACCAGCGCTGGCGATCACAACAGCCGAGACGGTGACGTACAGACCACAGCGTCAAGAGGGGGTATTGGGGGGTACATGATAGGTCGCAGTATTTGGAACTCCTATGGGTATGCAAAATCACGTCCGGAATCCAGCGGAGGTAGTGATAGCCGCAGCCGAGCGCACAGACTTTCTTCGCAGGAGAGTATTCGGCGGCCGTTTTTGCATTCGGTGTTCTTGTCGTCGCCGTACAAGACACTGTTTGAGCCGAATTTGTCCGTGGCAAATGACTCTGTAAGTGCAAGTGCAAGTATATGTGTGTCATTCTATGTATATAGCTGTATAGTATGGCGTATATATATATATATATATATAGGTACGTAAATGTATCCTATGCGCTATCCGGCGGCCGTTTCTGCACTAGTTGTTCTTGTCGTTGCCCAACAAGACGCTGTTTGAGCTATTTGTCCACGGCAAATGGTTCTGTAAGGAAAATGGTCATGTGTATATAGATGTTAATGATTCTGCCAGTTTAATGACATGTGTATATAGATGTAAATGATTATGTATGTATAATGCCCGTGTGTATATAGATGGGAATTATTTTGTAGGTACTGGCATGTGTATATAGATATAAAGGATATTGTACGTATAATGGCCATGTGTATATAGATGTAAATGATTCTGTACGTATAATGACCATGTGTATATAGATGTAAATGATTCTGTACATATAATACCCGTGTGTATATAGATGTAAATGATTCTGTACATATAATACCCGTGTGTATATAGATGTAAATGATTCTGTACATATAATACCCGTGTGTATATAGATGTAAATGATTCTGTACATATAATACCCGTGTGTATATAGATGTAAATGATTCTGTACATATAATATACCCGTGTGTTTATAGATGTAAATGGATTCTGTACATATAATACTCGTGTGTATATAGATGTAAATGATTCTGTATGTTTAATGCCCAAGGGTATATGGATGTGACTCGTCTTTTGTACGTTCAGACAGATGCGTGCAGGCACAGGCGTGCGCTTGGATGTATGCGACAGGCCACCCGGTGGTAGGTATGTTAGACCTGGTACAATACGGCTGTCGATGAAATATAAACATAAAACGCAGAGTGCGTGTACCTACACCTATATGCATGCATAACTATAAAGATTTCTCGCTGCTACATGTGTACATGTCTGTTTGTATAGCCTCAAGCATGTGCACATTGCAGCACCCACTCATGTCTCAACACACACCGCTTGCAGTTGACACCTAGATCGCAGACAAAAAGCCCACTACCAGGTCCGGCGGTGAGTGTGGGACGAAGCGCCAGCACAGAGAAGGGGAGGTCTACTGAACAGCAAACGAAGCCTATGCTGGGGCCTAGTACTGTGAACACTTTGTCTGCCACCATTCCCGCGATCGGCAGCGATTCAGTTGCGAATATAGGTGTCGAGGTATTTGCATGTATATATATATATATATATATA